CCATCTGCAGTTCCGTCATCTATCACAGCTGCACAGAGCCCCTTCCTCACTGTCCAATATGGCTGAAGCACCTGCTAAATCCCACACGCATGCACACACACACACAAAGAGACACACTCCCACCCTGCTGATGGCTCATTCTTGCCGATCCAGCAGAACAGCGGCGATGCTGTAGCTGCGTCCTCACCCCGGACAAAAGAAATCAGGTGACCCTATTGGGATCCAATAGACACGCACGCACACACACAATCCATCCCTCCATCTCAGTCGATGTGTTCCACTGGAGTGGGAGGTAAATAAGGATGTGGCCGGGCTGCTGCATTGACTTGCTTTGGGAACCCATGGTCTGTTTGATTACATGTAACATACAGGAGGTGTGGAACAAAGCAGTGCTGGCAGCTTACAATTCCCTCATTGCTCGCTCGCTTTTTTCCTCGCCTCCAATTTTCTTCCTGTCACTCCCTCATCCACCAATCCCACGCTTTTTTTTTCTGCTCCAACCCCGGCATTACTTATTTCTCACCCCTCGACCTAACACACCTCGTCTTTCGTTTTCTGCTTGTAATGCATCATTTTTGGGGGGATGAAACTCCCCCCCTCGTCCCTCCTGAAAATGACTCCGCTGCCATCTTCACAAATCACTCTGACCTTTCGTACTCGCTGAGGTCGCCATCATCTGATCCGGGTCCAAGGCCCGTTCCCCGCCAGCCAAAGACGGACCCGGCACGGGCAGTGGCAGCAGAGCAGAAATAAGCCGGCATCAATCACACACAATTAGTCCCATTAGAAGCCTGGGAGGGTGGAGAGCTCCTCCACCGCCAGTTTGGCAATCGTTGGTAAAAAAAAAAAACCCCGCAGTATTAGTCAATCAGATCGCTTCTAAGTGCTTATTATATCATCAAGTAATCATGTGACATATGAGTGGAGTTTAATACTGAATAGTCGGTTTAATTAAGCTGCATTCAAGTCAGCAGTAAACAGAAATTGGAAGGCTTTTAAAATCATGATACGGCAGGTTGGTCCAAATAAATGGCACTACTGTTGCATTGTAGTCCCAACAAAAGCACTTAAATAAGCAATAATTCACAGATTGCCTTGGCCTCACTGTAATGCACATTGCAGCAGATCACTTAGTAAACAGAAAGTTGATAATGGATGATTCTGCGGAACACAATTTTGAACTAAAAGTCTGCTGGGATGCAGTCAAAAAATGCAGCTTCACGCCTACAGAAAGAATGAAGACAAGAGAAAAACAGCGATATTTGTAGCTCTTAAGGTTCAAACTGAACTCAAGGCAGATTTAAGAGGGACACGCTCACACATAAAACACACTATTCAGAAGCAAAGTCGTCCTCCTGTGCCGGGCAATTTGAGCTTAAAAAATGCAACTCTGCAAGTGGAAAATGTCTCAGCTAGAGCACCAAACTTCACTTTTTGTCCGAGGCCGGATGACTCCACTTTATAAAACATACAGAGACAAAAAGATGGAAGAAAAACTGGTGAAAACAAAAGAATCAGAGTCCCTGGTAAGTTAGGAGGTGAAGTCACATACACACAAAGCCACGGTCTCTCTACACACAAAAACAAAAACACACACACACACACACACACACACACACACACACACACACACACAGGGGGTCAACGGGGGACACTGAGACGGAATTAAAGCTGCAGTCACTGGCAGAAAAGTTAGACAAACAATCCACCAACAACCTGAAACTTTTACCTTTTGCTCTGCTACTTAAAACAGTCCCTGCACTCACACAGAACATCAGCAGCGCACCTTAATTTTCTGTGCTATAGTATCACACTACACGTGATGACAACTATAAAGGGAACCAGATTTCACAAAGGCTTCAAGAGTGCTTGACTTATAAGAATTTTCAAACTTGAAGATGAGACAGATTTTGAAGGAATGATCCATTTATTTAATCGAGGAACCAGGGATGACTTTCAGACTTCGGAGCAGTCACATTATTTGTGTTTTTCCAGATATTTCTGACATGTCTTATAGTCTGTTTGCTGTGACTTTCCCCAGCTTCACAAAGCATCATGGTAGGAAATGTCAGCTGTAAATTACACATGACACAGGGTGCTTTTTTTGAGGCACAGCAGCGTAATAAGACTGCAGGTAAAAAAAAGCCATTCCAAAGCCTGCCAGCAAACAAGGAGCAGTCGAGTCACCTCCAAAGACTCGAGACATGACAGGGCATCAAGCGGAGCTGCACGCGGCCCGCGCACAAACAGGATGATCCCACAGGTTACCGCCTGAGACTCCCTCGCCCTCAATCACTTCCCTCCTCTCTCTCCATCAGACGGCCTCTCTATTGTTCTGCGCCGAGCCGGTGCCCTGCTGCAGAATGGATGGCTGCAGCGGGAGGGAGGGAAGGAAGGAGGGAGGAGAGGGAGGAGGAAGTAAATGAGATCCCGATGAGATGCCAAGGTGTGTTAGTGGTGAGGCGTGGAGGAATGAGAAAAGCAGCCTGAAGGGGGGGGGGGGGGGAGTGGTTAGATTGACTGCGTGTGAGGTGTATGGGATAGTGGACGCCCCGCTCCCTCCCCCCTCAAACCCCCCTCCAACATATTAGTGTTTGCTAAGTCAGCTCAGGATGCAGGAGGTATTTTCAGGAGAGGAGGAGTGGAAGAAGATGACATATGGACGGTGGGAAGAACAAAGGAAAACTGGAGGATGGGACAGAAAAAGAAAGAACTACAACATAAAAAAATATTGTCTCGTAGATACAACAAAGAAAAACAGAACAAAGAACGGAAGAAAGTGAAAGGAAGAAGAACAACCAAAAAAAAAGGAAAAAACAAGAGGGAAGAAAAAAGGGCACATTAGGAAGAATGAAATACGAGCAAAGACGGGGAGATGTGTAAAAATGTAAAACTAAGCTGCTGAAAGATTCAACTAGGCACAAGGACGCTCTGCAAAAAAGACATCTCATAAATTAGTGAGCAACAAGACATAAATACTGTAATATAATCTAAAAGGAGGTTTTAACAGATGCTCCAAATTTTCTCAAAACAGGGACGATTTGTGCACACACTTCCTTTGTTGAATCTCAGCTCTCACAGAAGAGTTTCACTCAAACAGGTAGTTCAATCGCCTCGTTTGATTTGCATATAAATCGTAGAGGAAAAATTAAAAGAAGCGAAAAACTCTCTCCAGCGTTTCTTCCGTCTCTCCCCAAATCCTTGAGAACAGCGAGCAGACTCTCTGCCAATAGCAGCCTTCAGGAGCACATTGCTTTCACAGCAATTAATCGCTGTCACAACATCAATTAAACAAAAGCTAGCTTCCAAATCCGGCTACCCAGCATTCCAGGGAACCGAATCAATCTGGCAACGAGTCTGAGCGTGTGCGTGCGTGCATGTGTGTGTGTGTCAAGTGTGTGATGCATCCAAAGCTGGAGAGAAGTGTGTTGAAATAAAAAGGGTTGATTCTGTGTGCACGCACTAAAGCGGCTCTTAAGTACGAGAAGATGTCACACCATGCAGTGTACAAAGAGAAGGCTCGCATGCAAGTCTTGCATGTACGTGCCAGGCGAGTGTGTGTGCACAGGAGGGCATTAAATGTGTGTCAATGATGTATGGATGGGGAGTGTTCATGCATGCCAAATGTCCATAAAGGACACTGTGATGGAATGATGAAGACTGTTAGCGTGCTACATGAGCGTGTGTGCACGTCTATGAATCTCCTCTTTAGACCCACATTATGCTACTTTCCACTTCAGCATCTAGGAACTGATTAGGATGACTTTCCTGGCTTTTGCTGGAGCCGGCAGGTCAGACACACACACACACACACACACACACACACACACACACACACACACACACACACACACACACACACACACACACACACACACACTGCACTGCTCCTAAGTTTAGATCATGTAAGTTGTGTAGGTTTCAAATGTGTCGGCTTATTTGTGAGTGCAGGCTGCTGGTAAACTGTTGAACCCCAGCAGGAGGAGAGACCTTAAGGTGAAAGCACATCCAAATCCAGATACCAAAATCTGCATAAAAGCTTGATTACACATTACTCTGCTGTCTTTCTGTTTCTAAAATGATCCTTAGATTACTTCCGACAAACAGCTGACCACTTGTTAAAAACTGACAGAGGGAGTATTTGTTACAGAGAGTAAATGAGAGGAGAGGTTTAAAGGCATGCAGAGGGGGTTTAATGCTTCTTTATGCGTCCATGCCACAGAGGATGTAAAAATACAAAGAAACCAGTTGCACACAAATGCCGAGGCAAAAAAAAGCTGAGCACAAGATGTTAGTGTTTGTGACAACCAACCGGGGGATGTTTCTCTCTCATAACGGGAACCAATCTGACTTTTTGCTCCCTGAATAAATCATAAAGTAGATCCTGAAGCAGACTGTGGCTCCGTTATGTGTGTAGCAGCACGAAATATGACCATTTATTATTTGCCTCTAAAAACATCTCCTACATTAGTGATTTAGCTCACTACCTGTTTTTACTATCTGTTCCCTGAAGTCGGCACAAATGAGAGCTGTGTAAGATACATTGAACGTTTTGTTTTTTATTGACGAGCTTTTTGGAATAAAATGCCCTGCTTGTCATGTCAATCAAGATTTTCTGCCACTGAGTGACAAACATTGTACAGTGTAAAAGCTTCTTATTTGTTCGCATGTGTGGATTATTTGGAGAGAAACGCTTACAGTTTTATGAGCCCCAAATGCGTAAATCTGTCACACAGCTTCCAGAGACGCGTCAGGTTTTCATATTGGACTAGTTGAAGCAATTCGCAGAGTGTTTTAACTTCGATTATATAAATGTTTTTTTTTTATTATTATTGGATACATTACACATTTCTTTCTCTCACAGGACAAGTGCAAAATGCCAAACTCTCTCCTCCGCTGTGTGGGCATCTGTCTGTCGATCATCGCTCACTGCTGCTGCGGAGACCGGTTTGGGTACAAGCGAGCCAAAATCATCACACACACGCCGGGTTTCAACATACCTTCCTCGGCGTGACAGGCTTCTTCTATGTTCAGCAATAATATCCAAAGCACCGAAACCAGCGTTTTACGGAGATCCATGTTTGTCTGGCCAGTTCCGCGGGGCTCTTGTCATCTCTCTCCAAGCCTGCGCGCAACGCACCGCAGCAGAGACGCACTTCACCGTTTTTCTGAAAGGAGCGGAAGAGCCGTCTGGGCAAATAGTGCTGGATCCGAGCAGCCACACGGCCTATTTCATATCTCGGGGGAGGGTTTACCGGGCGAGATTGACACCGCGAGAGCGCAATGAAGTGTGGATGTGGAGTGGAGGGTACGCCAGGGTCGACCTATCAGTGAGCGGCAACCGGAAATCTGCGCGCAGGTGTTTCAAACACAATCAGCGGAGTCAGCCTCGCAGTGTAGTGCATTTTTTACAGGCTGTGTTTTTTTGGAGAAAGTGGAGAAAGTGGAGGGGGCTCGGGATATTTTCTGTTTAATACCATAGTAAAGGTTTTATTCCTCTGCTCACAGAATCCTGCACTTACTGATCAAAATATCATGTTTCCAAAGGGGGGGGGGGTCCCTCCCCTCACTGTCAGTTCAGTGTTCTAGAGCAGGGGTTCCCAAACTTTTCAGGTCGTGAACCCCAAAATAAGGATGACAGAAACTGGGGACCCCCCACTGTTCTTTAAGTAACATGTATGAGTATGAGCTGTTCAAAAAGCAAAAACTGCAGATGGAACAGTCTTGGACTTGTAATAATATAAGTATTATTAATTAACATATTATAATTATTCATATATTTTTAAGTACTTTAGAACAAATGTGAAAATTACAAAATTAGTTTCTCATTTAATCGTAATAATGGATTGTGCTTAACTTTGAACATTTACTTATTTTTTCACTCAAAGTCTAAAATTGACTTGAGATCATTCCTATAAGGGAAATCATTTCCTCTCTTAGGGGATCATTGATCTGATGCTACTGAAAGTGAGAGGTCTCGTTGTTAGTGTTCTGCTCAAAAAATCAAATATTATTGAGCCCTCTGCTGCTGGGTTTGAGAGGGGGGAAAGAATGAAGTTTCAACGTTTTGCATCATAGTAAGAGTAAGACACACACACACACTTACGGTTACCTACACATAATCAAGCACTGGCTTCAATTGATCAGTATCATATTTTAGCTTGGGAAGGAGTTCAGTTTATATCTTATGGACAAGCAACAAACTGATTTTTGTAACGATAACACTGAGAGCTTAAAAAAATAACCTCCACCTTTTGGATGATTGCAGATTTGAAGTCAAGATTGAATGATGGTCGATATGTTACGATTTCTACAAATACACACAGACAAAGCCTGCAGGACGCTCCTGGATGATACAGCTCAGACTATAAATAGAACCAAAAGTTGTGTCACTTACCCACTTGTATAAATCAGTAAAGAGAGATTACCTTTGGATCAAGAGGAAACTTCCTCAAAAGCATTAAGCAGTAAAACACCTGAGGTATTAATACAGAGCGTGCACTTTGCAGCTCTTCACCATTTACCTCCAGTTTCAGCCAGTTAGCTACTATTCAAACTTAAATGATGATGCTAATGAAACGGCTAGTTGGCACACATTATTATCCCCTTGAGAAAGCCCAGCAACATCTCTGTAATAAATACAATCAGGAGTTCGTAATATCTCACAAACTCAAACTACCCTCCACTGTGTGCAACGGTATGCACTCACTCATACACACACACACAAACACACACAGACACACACAAACACACACAGACACACACACACACACACACACACACACACTCCTTCCTATATGCTCTATAATTAGCAGTAAGACTCATTATCACAGTTGTCACCCAGCCCCCCCTCCTCTCTCCATCTTCACTCTCTCTACTCGACCACAGGCTCACACCACACACACACACACACACACACACACAGACACAAAAACACACGCTCACACAGATTACGGGCCATCAGCTAGACTGATCCTCCCCAGCAGGGGGGCTGCTAGCCGCAGTTCTGAGTGCTGATGAACATGATCATCTGTCCTCCTCTGTGGTCATTACTCACTGAGGACAGAGGCCAACAGCCCCACTCCCCTCACCCTGCGTCTCTGCGCTCACAGGCTTTCATGAACAGGCTCCACAACAAGTCTATTTTATGCTCTAGCCACTATGACTATAACAATTTCAAAATAAAATTCTTAAATATTAAGTTTATTTAACTACATTTATTAAAATGAAATCAAGGAGAGAGAGTGGGGAATGACATGCAGGTCAGACTTGAACCCGAGCCGACTATAGCCTCTGTACATAGGCCATGACTTAACCTCTAGGCCATCAGCTCCCTGGTAAGTTGTTTTGTTATTAACGGGAATGGTTGACTCAGAGAAAATGAATGTTTATCTCCAGCCTTAGGTGTTCACCATAAGCTCCCTTTCCCCCCCTCAAGCCCACTGTCAACACATGGCCACACAGGAAGACCTGCTGCAACAGACCCACACACACGTGTTTGCATTATTGATCAGGGACACAATCACCAGGGAAAAATAGAAAAAAAGATGTAAATCACAACCTGATGGAGGAAAGAGAGGGGGGCGCTGAGGAAATTGATGTCAATTCCACAACACACACACATTGAGACACGTATGCAGCCCAGTACATTTTATTAATGCCACACACATCTGAGTATTTAGAGTAGTCAGAATCCAGTCGACACCAACAAATCTCCCACTGTGAGGTAAATGTTTGTAAATGTCTCACAGGTTCTGGATAAACAAGGACCAGTTTATGGATAGTCGTTTTTATATATGCACTCCTGAAAGTTTTCAGCACATCAGGAGATGGCGGACAAAGCAACAGAGTCTAATGCTATGATGACATTTTTTTTGTGTTTTTTTAAATGTGGTTGGACATGTTGAAAAATTCAATGAAAGAGCGGAAAACAACATACAGAAAACATAGTGAAGCGATTCGGTGACGTGCAGGGAGATTGCATCAATCGCCAGCTGCACAATCCAGTGTATTGTACCGGCTACGATGCATACATGTCATCAACACCCCCCTTCTCGCTCGCCGCTAATTTCCCTGCTGTGTTCTCACAATCGCTCGTCCTAACTTCAAGCAGAAATTTTACTCTGGATAGCATGGAAAAATTCTGTGGAAGACACAAATACTTTGGAAAGAAAATTCTGTAAATCACTGTAAAAGTGAAAATAAAATCATTGTGTGTTGGGTGTAAATTGAGTCCTATAGTGACACCTTTGAACTTCGACTTTTGACGTTTCGCATCACAATATGTGTGTCTTTTTAAATTGATCAACTTTGGCTTTTGGGTTAATCCTGGATGTACAGTAGACTCAAATCCTCTTGGGAAAAAATCCTGTGCTCACCCCAACCATCTCCTGATGCAAACCATATTGCTCTTTATAATGTGCCCCTATAAGTACAACCACTAGGAGGCCTTGATGTAAATATGGGTCAATATTAAGGGGGCCAACTCAGCTAACAAGGCACAGTAGGGCCACATGTCAACGCTCCCAGTGACAGCTGATAAAAAGCTGTTTAACACAGATGTCAGTGTGTACAAGTTTCTATATTGCCTGACATGCTGTCCCTTCTCTCTCTATTTCTTCTGCATGATGTCACTGTAATTTTTGACACCCTTTGGGATTTAACAGAAGCATAGGAGGAAAGGAGGGGGATGGGGAGGGGTTGGGAGGTGTAAAGAGAAAAAAAAGGGGGAGGAATGAGGAGAGTAAATGGGGCGATGGAAGGAGGTGGTGGAGGGAGCGGGTGTTTGATAACACAAGCCTACAACTCCCTGATGTATTGTACTATAGCTGTGTTATTCCCAGGACAGGACCCTGTAAACGCTGCCAAGTGAAAAGGTGTTAATGTGTCTTTGAGGGAGATATACGCCTACACACTAACACAGTACAATTTACCAACACACACACACACATGCAAGGACATGTCACGCACACACACTCACCCCCTCCCCACGCCCACACACATACACACAACAGTGTTGACAATCACAGATACAGATTGTTTTAAACAGGCGCAGGGGAGCGGGTATCACTCTTTGCTTTATTCAGATGGGTGTGCAGAGAATCGTCATTCCCTTTATGAGATGATTAGCTGCCAGGCATTAATCAAACTAACATTTCATAATGAAATTAGATCACGGATACGCTCTAACAACATCTCTGGACAGATTCTTTTTACTGCCCTCATTAGTATTTCTATAATGGCCTGTTTGCAATTAGTAAGTGGATTTATTGCAATCATACTTTTCTTTTATTAATGCCGATGAGATAATAACCGGAACGTGAGGTTTGGCTATAAATCAGCCTTTGAATGATTGTTAGGGACAGCACATGTGGTGTAAAAGAAAATGCGGGGAGGGGGGTGTTGTTGAGTGCTCATAAAGCTGAATGAAAGTTGTAACTTTAAGACTTTCCAAGGATGTTGTGGAGTCACTTTGTTGTCTTTCCGTTTGTGTCATTGGAGAATTGGGTCACACTGGTGTCCAGGTGGTGCATCCTGGGAGAAATCGGTCCAGCAGCCCACGGGAGGACGATCGTCATTGGCTAATGAGTCCTTGTGTTGTCATTAGTTCCAGGTACAAGAGTTTCCGGTGTCATCAGAGTCCTTTGGAAACGGTTGGAGTCACTTTAAAAACATGGTGTGGTCATAGAGGTGAAAAAAACAAACAAATCTGATTTTTTTACCTTCAAGAAAAAAAAGAAAAAATACGACAGGAAAGACACATTTCAAAAATACTACTGAAAGCTTCTGAAAGGAGCAAGAAGCCTGGCTAGAGAAACCATTGGACAGCTTCAACAGCTTCTGTTTGTCACCAAATGCCCGTTTGGTCCCGTTTGGTCCCGTTTGGCGAGGCGGTAACAGACTATGTGTTTGTACAACAACATGCAGGTGCACTGAGAGACCTTGTGTAGGCGCCAAAGTGCACCAAACTGAATTCCTACATATTGTTGCTTTTAATGTGGTCATGCATTGATTTATCTCTTCTCTCTATTTTTATTTTTTTAGATTTAAACGCTGCCAAAGTCCACCGTTCCAATGATGAAATCAGATTCCTGTGCTTGTTTACATCTGGGAAATAGAGCGTTTCAGCAGTATGGCAGTAGCCATTAATTGGAGCTAGAAACCCTGGTTAGTGGCTGTGTCCCAGTTTAGACATACTGTAGCTCTGACCGGCATAGTAGGCCTCGATTGACACAAAAATGAATAACGAGTTTATCCCACCAGTAATT